CATCTATGTACAGAGGGCACGGTACTCAGTGTTGCTGATGTAACAATGAAATGCTGAAGTCTGAGATACTCAAAATGAGGCAGAGGGAACACTGGGAAGAACAATGAACTCTGATTGACCAAGTTGAAACCTGAGCTGTTACTGAAGGCTAAACAGGACTTTTCTGGAAAGCAATGCTATGGCATGAAGTATTCTGGGCAGAGGTGTCACGAATGAGCAATATCACAAGCTGTAAATTACCCATAAATCATTGTAGTATCATCTATAGATTGTGGTGTGTGCTGGGGAGCAGGAGACAGGAGGGGAGATCAGACTGACAATGCTGCCTGGGCTCAGAAAAATTCAAATGTATAATTTATCCAGTAGAAATAATAACTAGAAGAAAAAGTGCTGCTGCAGAAGGAAGGGGGGCTTAAAAAGTAGGGATGGTTCATCATCTCCAGTGAAGGAAACACATGATAGAACTGAAAACAAGTCAGGGGCAGTTGTGTGACTTTAGCCATCACTGAGCCAAAAGCAGTTTGAAGCCAAGAAGTGTGAATGGGAAGACAGTGACAACTCCTCTTACAGGAAGTTTGTTGGGAAAAGACAGTATATAAGAACAGAAGCAAGAAAGCCAACTATGGTGGTAAAGGATCTTCATGATGGAACTTTGAGAATTTCTGGAGCACAACAAGTCTGACTGGTAGTTTATTAACACAGCATATATTTACTTAATCCTCGGTCTGAAATTACTAAAACAGACTCAATTCCTACAAAGACATCTATATATATTTGGTCTTTATATGTTGACTATTTCTCTATATCCTAGACTGTAACACAAAACCTTCATTTTAGTTTAAAGATGAGTGAGAATCACAACTTGGACTTGGTTCAAAGCTTTTATTTTGGCTTTAGTTTACCACAAAGCAGTGCATAAGCAGCGCTAAGGATATAAATGAGATAAGGATGCACGTATGTGAGTTCAGCTGCCCATACTTCCTGTTCATTTATCATAAAAATATGGTGGCCTCAGCAGCTCTAGCAACTGAAATGTCAGAAAAGCACAGTACTGTGGGCTTCTGCACCCTTATCAACAAAAATGCCAGACTGTGTCGCCATCTAGAAGTAACATTTAAGGTGAAAAAAATTTGTTCCTCAGAGAGTAGATATTAGTGGACAAACATTAAACATATACCCAAGTAATTATAATATAATGTAGAAATACCAATGGCTATAGAATACAGTTAGATGAAGTACCATGAGTCTTTAAAGTCTCATAGAAATGCTTATTATTAGAAACACAGAGTAAAGTCCTGTATCTTAGGCCTCCCCTCCTTAGAAATCCCTAGCAATTACATGAAATACCATAGACATATGATCAGCCATTAGATTTAACTGTAAGTTTTTGTTTCATTTGTCGCTCTTCCTATATCCCAAAACTGCTTCTTTTACTGCATTTATCTTTGGCTTTATTAGAATATATACCCAAGGGATTTTAAAACAAGACAGTTAAATAACGAGACTGTGTCTTAGGTTTTGATACTCTGGCTGTTTGTTCTGGGACAGTTTTGCCAAATGTTTATGTTCCTCTAGGGCCTTTTCATGGCAAGACATGGCAGGTCTACAACATATGAGGCAAGGTAAAAGATACAAGGTGAGCGAGGTTTCTTTCCTTTGCTCTTCTTGGTTCTAGTAAAATAGAGATGCTGTCATAATAAAAGAAACAAAAATACACATATAATACATAAAAAACATGAGAAAAAGAGCAAATAGTAGTAAATAGGCTCACATTCATGCAGCACAGGTATAAGGAGCACACCATTAATATTCCTCTGTAGTTCATGAACTCCTGTATTTTTATAAAGGCAAAGCAAGTATAAGATGTTTTCAACCCAATAGCCTCATCAACTCAGCTAATTCTTGACTTCTTTTGCTATGAACATCCACACAAAAACACTGTATTTCCAGTGGCAAGGACTGTTGTCTTCAGGGAATCTTATCAGAATGAAACGAGAGATAAAATCTCAAGATTTTCTGCACTCATGAAAGTTCTACTCAGGGTGATTTTGGCTTTCCTCGTATGTAACATTCGAATGGACATTTCATACCTAATATGCAGGACAGGGTAACATGAAGACTTTAGAGACTGCTTATAATATTCCATGAGGATTTGAGATTTTTGCTGCATCCATAAATGTGAAAAAAATGTGAATCTCTGAAATACTGTTTACTTCTAGAGATAAACACACTTTAAAAAAACACAACTGTCAAATGTCACTTGATATCTTCAGCATATTTCAGTAAATGCTGAAACACTATACGGTCTTCTGATTTCAAATTCACTGTTTCAATTCCTTAATGTTCTGTGAAGTTTGAGGAGGTTGTAAGATTACAGTAGTACATTTTCTTCATCTTTTGAAAGATGTATTTTATCAGATTCTCTCACCATCTCAGTATATCTGTCTTTTAGAATTGATGGTAGATATAAATATTGGTGAAAAAACAATTAAGGCTATCCATATGGCAATTATTTGGGTGCCTCTGAAGTCTGGTCCCTCACATAAATTTGTTTCAGGTAAAAAAGTGATAAAAAATCTTTTCCTAATCTTATAGGCTTAGGTCCTGGAATAAAAGTTTGAATCTAATTTTATCTATGCCAGGCTCAGAATACTGTTACAAGTCAGTGGTTTCAGTGTTTATTCCTATGTGGATATGAAGTAAAACTGCAGCATAGATATAATAAACTGACACATTTGTTAGGCAACAGTACTAACTCCTAAGTACTTGGAAAAACTAAGTAGTACTTGAGCATGAAATGTATTTTCTGTATTTTTCAAAAACTGTATAGTTTTTGATAAAAACACTCAGCAAAGTGGGGATAGAGGGAGCATTCCTCAACATAATAAAGGCCATATATGAGAGACCTACAGCCAACATCATACTCAATGGGCAAAAATTAAAATCTTTTCCACTAAGATCAGGAACAAGACAAGGCTGTCCACTTTCACCACTTGTACTCAATATAGTACTGGACGTTTTAGCCACAGCAATCAGACAAGAAAAAGAAATAAAAGGCATCCAAATCGGAAAGAAGGAAACAAAACTGTCACGGTTTGCAGATGACATCATACTATACACAGAAAATCCTATAGACTCCACCAAAAATCTGCTTGACCTAATAAATGAATTTGGCAAAACAGTAGGATACAAAGTCAATATCCAGAAATCAAAGGCATTTCTGTACACCAACAATGAAACAGCAGAAGCAGACATCAAGAAAAAAATCTCATTTGAAATAGCAAAAAGAAAAAATAAAATACCTATGAATAAACCTAACCAAACAGGTAAAAGACCTGTATTCAGAAAACTACATAACACTGAGGAAAGAAATCAAGGAAGACACAAACAAATGGAAACATATACCGTGTTCATGGATTGGAAGAATTAATATCATCAAAATGTCCATACTAACCAAAGCAATTGGCACATTCAACGCAATACTTATTAAAGTACCAATGGCTTATTTCACAGACATAGAACAAACACTTCAAAAATTTATATGGAACCATAAACGACCCCGAATAGCTGCTTCAATTTTGAGAAAGAAGAGTAAAGTAGGAGGGATCACAATACCTGACACTAAACTATACTACAAGGCCACTGTAATCAAAACAGCCTGGTACTGGCATAAAAACAGGCACATGGACCAATGGAACAGAACAGAGAGCCAAGAAATAAACCCAAGTCTCTATGGTCAATTAATATTTGACAAAGGAGGCAGCAACATAAAATGGAATAAAAATAGCCTCTTCAACAAATGGTGCTGGGAGAACTGGACAGCTACGTGCAAAAAAATGAAACTCAAGCACCAACTTACACCTTATACAAAAATAAATTCAAGGTGGATAAAAGACGTAAATATAAACCATGACACCATTAAAGTCCTAGAGGAGAACGTAGGTAGGAAAATCTCAGATATTTCACACAGAAACTTTTTTACTGACATGTCTCCTAGAGCAAGGGACATAAAGGAAAGAATAAACAAATGGGACCTCATCAAAATGAAAAGCTTTTGCACAGCTAAAGAAAACAGTATCAAAATAAAGAGAACCAACTATATGGGAAAACATATTTGCCAATGATACCTCAGACAAGGGTTTAATCTCCAAAATATAGAAAGAACTTACACGACTACACTCTAAGAAGACAAGGAACTCAATTAAAAAATGGGCAAAGGACTTGAACAGACACTTCTCCAAGGAGGACATACAGAAAATCCAAAGACACATGAAACAATGTTGAATATCGCTAGCTATCAGAGAGATGCAAATTAAAACCACAATGAGATACCACTTCACACCAGTCAGAATGGCCATCATAAACAAACAACAAACAAGTGTTGGAGAAGTTGTGGAGAAAAGGGGACCCTAGTGCACTGTTGGTGGGACTGCAGACTGGTACAACCACTATGGAAAGCAGTATGGAACTTCCTCAGAAAACTAAAAGTGGATCTGCCTTTTGACCCTGCAATTCCACTGCTGGGACTATATCCTAAGAACACTGAAACACCAATACAAAAGAACCTTTGCACCCCAATGTTCATAGCAGCACAATTTACAATAGCTAGGTGCTGGAAGCAACCAAGATGCCCATCAGTAAATGAATGGATCAAAAAACTATGGTACATTTACACAATGGAATTCTATGCAGCAGAAAGAAAGAAGGAGCTCCTACACTTTGCAACAGCATGGATGGAGCTGGAAAGCATTATGCTAAGTGAAACAAGCCAGGCAGTGAAAGACAAATACCATATGATCTCACCTTTAACAGGAACCTAAACAACAAAGCAAAGAAACAAGCAAAATATAACCAAAGACACTGAAATAGGGGACAGACTGACAGTGACCAGAGGGGAGAGAAGAGGGAATTTCAGGGGAGAATAGGAAGGGTTTACAGGAACAAATTTAAAGGACACATGGACAAAAGCGAGGGGGAGGGTGGTAATGGAAGGGAAGTGGGGAGAGTGGGCTGGAATGGGAGTAAAAGGGAGGAAACTCTACTTGAACAATGATTAAAATAAAATTGAAAACAACAACAACTGTGTAGTTTTTACTTTTACTTAATATGAAACAAACTAATTTTAATGTGTGTAGTATGTTTTTGATCATTATAAACATTTCTTCAGTTTCTAACACTTATAGCCTCTTAATTTCAATATATTATCAACATATCCATATATATATGTATATACATTTACAATGTTAGCTATTGTTTTTGGTAACTTTGGTTTGATTAGTTGGAGATGAGGTCCTAACCAAGTGATAGTGACAGAACAGAAAGTAGGGTTAGGTCCTTACAAAATGTTTGATTCATTTTTGCTAATGAGTTCGAAAATACTTGGTTTTAATCAGAAATTTGAAAATGACAATGACCAACGGAATTTATGAGAATATCTTAACCTATAAAAAAATTACCAGTGATAGAGAAAAAAGGCTTATATTGCATTTAATAGTGTTAATTCTGAACATGTTTCAAATTTCCATGAAGGATAGTGAAGTGTTCAATGTAGATACCAGTACAAATTTTAGTAAACTTGTTAACAGACAAAATGCTCTGAGGAATGTTCTGAACATTATTTTCATTAGAAAAGAAGATAATTTTCAAAGTTGCTTGAGGTACTGTAATATGTCTACTGATACTCCAAGCTGTTTTACTAAACTGGCTGTCTGTTCTAAAATCCAAGTGAGGCTTGGATTTTCAGAATGTGCATGCTCCCATGTTCCACAACATTCTGAAGATGAACAATCTACCCAGCTAAGACTCTTGCTACAGTTTTTGTTAAACTCAGAATTATTTTCACAGGGTCTTTCATCCTTAGCTTCATCAATCTTTTTGTCAGCTGGAACTACATGACAAAGGTCCATATCCTGAATGGAGTCCAATAAATTGACAACATGGGGCTGTGGGGTGACTGATTTCAGATGTCTGAGCACATGCTCTTCGCACTGGTCAACTGCATCCAGAAGATTATTTATTTTACTGATCAAAGCTGAACTAGTATCATGAAGGTGACACCAGGAGAGCAAAGCACTGAATGAAAATATAAACAAGAGTTAAATAAGAAAAAAATTAAACAACCATAGGCTTTTAGAATTTTTGATGTTTCCTTTCTACCTTGTATGTTTCTTTTCTAGATAACAGCATGCAAACCAAATTAATAATAAGAATGCAAGTCAAAATCAGAAAAGTAATAATGGTAAATAGGATTAAAAAATATAAGGATATTATCTTTCAATAGAAATTAAACAATTGGGCTTAATCATATAAACTGTTCTAATACATAACCACCCCTTCACAGCTCCGCATCCGCTCTTCCTCATTTTAGATGTTCCCCTGTGGCTGTGGAGCTTCTGAGGGATACAACTCAGAAAAAGACAGATCAGAAAAATTAGTTTCTCCTTTAAGGACAGCAAACAGCTTCTAAACAAGTCATTCTTCAACTTGGATGCACATTAAAATCACCTGAGAGCTCTTAAAACTATCAAGGTCTGTCATACCCCAGAATAATTAAATCATAATCTCTAGAGGTGTTATTTTTTAGAGCTGCATAGCAATCTGGCTGATATCAAGGTGCAGCCAAAGTTGAAAACCATTGTTCTAATCATATACAGTAGTTGCTTGCCATCAAAACTGAAGGTTAGAAAAAAAAGCTTTTAGGTGACTTTACATTTCCAACTTTGTTATAAGTAGACACTGTTTGCTGAGCTAACTAACAATTTTCTTGAAGAAGGTAAAAATTCTTCTAGTCCTAATAAATATTTTTCTTTACTATTCTAATACAGACAGTACTTTTTTTTAAAAATTTCAGATTGTTCAGATAATCCTGTCATAAAATAGTTGTTGTGAAATGTAATGTTTTGACCTGGCCAGTTGGTTCAGTTGGTTGAAGTGTCATCCCGTATATCAAAAGGTTTACGGGTTCTATTCCCAGTCAGGGCACATATCTAGGTTGCGGGTTGTATCCCTGATTGGGGTGCTTATTGGAGGCAACTGATCAATGTTTCTCTATTACATCAATGTTTCACTCTCTCTCTCCCCTTCCTCTCTCTCTAAAAAATCAATAAACATTCTCGGGTGAGGGTTAAAAAAAATGGAATCCAGTGATATAAAAGATTTAGCAATAACTTTCTAAGCTTATAAGAGATTAATTTAACTTGATGTGAAGATGAATACGATCATTTTCCTATAGTAGTAGAGTGCAAATTTCTATTCCTGACCATTGCATTTTCTAAAACCTTTAACACAAGATTTTTTTTTGTTTTGATAACTTTTATTTTCTACCCTTTTAAAAAATCAGTGATTCTTTGCACCATTTTCTCTATAGAGGGTCTTTTAAAAGGTATGGAGTATTAAAGAGTACAACCCCATCATGTTCCTTGCTTCATGTGCCATTTCAGTACTTGGCTCAGAAACATGCCATTATTGCTATGGAGTCTGGAGAGGTACTTAATGTTCAGGACACAAGTAAATGGGATCATTTTTCTCTGTATTACCAGTTATAATTTTCATCATGTACTTCTAGTCTAGAATTCTCCTGTGCTGTGTTCTGCCACATGTACAAGACTAAAAGCTTTATTTAGACCCTGAGGATCTTTTAAATTACTTTGAAATATAGACTGTTGATAATTCAGGCAGCAAAACAAAAAACTAAAACCAAACAAACAAAAACCAACCAAACAAAAAACCCCAAACACCTTCCTATCTTTTCTTTGCTATAAAGGACATCTAGCTCATATATTAAGTGAATGAGCTGATGATCTTGACTTTTTGAAGGCAATATTATTATTCTAATGCTTTGCAGCACTCTTGTGGATTTAACAGTAGGAAAAGCCTTTTAGTTTAAACACTTTATTTTTACATACTACTTTTTAAAAAAAATCCTCTGGTAGTACTGAGGATAAAATGACTCAGCATTTAAATTTTAAAAATTACCTCAAAGTTCCTCTGAGTTGTCCATAGTTCATAATGATTTCTGCACCTTCTTTATAACCTTGATTGAAGCCTTGTTGAAGAGTAACTGCTTTGCCAGCCTCTAGTCCATCTCTATAGCCTTCCTGAAAATAAGTAATGAAGAACTGCAGCTATAACTAACATCAAGTGGATTACTGTAGGTTTTTCTAGAAAGTCATAAAACTAATTTAGAAAATCAATGAAGACAAGCCTTTCCTGTGTTAACATAATGAATCTAAAAACATACAGCATAGCCACACAAAGTAGACTGTAATTCTCATAAAAATGTAGTACTGCTTTATCCCATTAAAAGTCCTGTGTTAGCAAAGGCTTCATAGTAAGGATTCAGGGAGAATTATATGCCTGGCTCTGTGCAACTGATTGGATTGGTGTGGGTAAAGAGGAGGCAAGGCAGTAAACAGAGTTATCAAGTCTCAGAATAATTAACTGAAGTAGGGAAAGAAGAAATTGGTTTAGCAAAAGGAAAATAAGAAATCTGGCTTTAGAAATTTTGCTTGATACCTAAATTCAACCAACCTGCAAATTCAGTGTGGACAGGGATTTTTTTTTGTACTGAATCTCCTTTGATGCCATAATGCTCAAAAGATGGTCAATCAAAAGATACCCTAGCTTCACACACAGCATTTCTGGAATTGACAACATGGTTGTGGGCTAAACAATTATTTTACTGAAACATTAAACAAAAGCAGATTTAGGGCAATTTAATGGTTGGCAAGTGAACCATTTTTTAAGTGAAAGTGGACCTCACCATTTGGCCCCGAACTAAGCTTTGAGTGCTACTTGGAAATTGGGTGTGTGGTATTAAGCTTAATCTCAATGAAGAGACAAATTAGAGATGGATAAGGCACACCTAACAAAAAAGAAACCAACTTTAATACTTCCTTACCTAGCCACCAGTATTCCATATTAGCTTTCGCTTATTGCCCTTTGACAACATTCTTACATCCACTTCTTCCACATACATTGATTACTACCGCCCCTAACTTCCACGGATTCAAGCAACCCTGTAAACTGAACAAATCCTCTGATAGTCATAATTAGTATAGTAAGTGCACACATTTCCACTCCACTCCCTTCCCTACCATCCCCCACCGAACTGCAATCTCTTCAAAGTTTAGACAGTTTACTTTGGTGGGACCTGTCTATCCCACTCCGCCGGCTCTCGCGGAAAGCGCCCGGTGGTTTCACAGGCTTTCGGCAACCCACTGGGTAACCTTAAGAGGATGCAGTCTGTGTTGGGCAGCAACTCGAAGGCAGGTCGCGCCGGCGGCAGGGACCGCGAAGGCCTCAATCTACCGTGGAACCTCATCACAATCCCGCCTCCCTCGCCATAACCCGGCATACCAAGGGACCACCCCGCTCCGCGCCCTCCAGACAGCTTTACTTTGACTCGTCTCCGCATGTGGCTCTGCCATTCTCGCTGCACCAGAAGTGACTCGTCCGCTTCCTCGTCAAACACTTCCTCCTCCTTTCCACTGCCTGGGACCAGAGGAGCAGCTCGAACCCAAGACATCACCGAGGTAACCATAAGGCCACTGAGAACTGGAAGCTCTGAGAACTCCTTCCGGTCTGGGGGGGCGGGGTGAGGTGGAGGGGCGGGGTCTGATGACAGAGTGCTGTTCGCTGGATGGCTGCACTTGCGCACAAGGGGCGGATACGGTGTGGGCGGTGCGGGCAGTCTCTGATGTGTCCTGGCTACTGCCTCCTATGCACACTCTGCTCACTGGTATTTTCTGGTTTATCAATTTAGGAAATGCTTAAATCTGTAGAGAATTTTTATGAGATTATTTGAGCCAAACTGAGGGCAACTGCTGGGAGGCAAAATCTCAACAGATTGAAAAGATGCTCCAGAAAATAGCAGTTTTGCACTGACCTGTATTTTGTAGTGTGTAGTGAACTCTTGTGTATAACGCGAGCCCACATTTTTGGCCCAAACTTTCAGGAAAAAAATCTTGTATTTTAAATTTTTAATTCAATTTTTATTTAGTTGTATGTAGATACTTGTTTTTTTCCATATGGATATTGTCAATGCTTTCTAGAGTTACACTTTTAAAGCATAAGCATAAATAAAAGAATTAAAAAACATTTATATAGATAGGGAATTAGTATTACTTATATTAGTAGTATACTATATTAGTATTAGTATAATGCACATCCTTATTTTACCCTAAAAAATTTGGGCAAAAGTACATTATACACTGCGAAATATGGCATTTTATAAATGGCAATCAAAAGAGGAGGCTTAAGGGGTTACATGAAATCCATTGGTGATAGATAGGAAGGTGGAAGAAAGCGAAGCCAGGAAATCATTGGGACTGAGTAAAAAGTAAAACGAATAGACACATACTTTTATTTTTTCTTCATTCTTTTTAAAATTTAATTTCTGTCATACTTTTTCCCATTACCATTTAGTCTCCTTTGCCCCACTCTAGGCAGCAATGACCACACTGTTGTCCATGTCCATGGGTCCTTTTTCCTGGATCGCTCCACAACCCTAACCTCTCCACACCCTACTAGCTGTCATCTGCTCTCCACCTTTGAGTCCGTCTCTGTTTTGCTTGTTAGTTCAGTTTGTTCATTAAATTCCACATATAAATGAAATCCTATGATATTTGTCTTTCTCTGACTGTCTAATTTCACTTAGCATAATGTCCTCCAGGTCCGTCCATCCTGTCCCAAAGGGTAAAATCTTCTTTTTTTTAAGATGAAGTAGAATTCCAATATGTAAATATCCCATAACTGTTTTATCCACACATCTACTGGTGGACATTTGGGCTGCTTCCATATCTTGAAAATTGTAAATAAAGCTGCAATGAGCATAGGGATACTTATGTCTTTTGAATTAGTGTTTTGGGTTCCTTTGGATATATTCCCAGAAGTGGAGTCATTGGGTCAAAAGGAAGATCCATTTTTAATTTTTTGAGGTAACTCCATACTGCTTTCCACAGTGGTGGCATCAATCTGCATTCCCACCAATAGTTCAAAAGGGTTTCCCTTTCTCCACATCCTTACCAACACTTGTTATTTGTTGATTAATTGATGATAGCCATTCTGACAGGTGTGAGGTAGTATCTCATTTTGGTTTTAATTTGCATTTCTCTGATTAGCGACATTGAGCATCTTTTCATAGGTCTATTGGCCATCTGTATGTTCTCTTTTGGAAAAGTGTCTATTCAGGTCCTTTGCCCATTGCTTAATTGAGTTGTTTGGTTTTTTGGTATTGAGTTTTGTAAGTACTTTATACATTTTGGATATTAACCCCTTATCAGATATATTGATGAATATATTCTCCCATTCTGTGGGCTATCTCTATTTTGTTGATGATTTCTTTTTCTGTACAATACCTTTTTAGTTTGATGTAGTCCCATTTATTTATTCTTTCTTTTGTTTCCCTTGCCTGGGGTTATATATCTGATAAAATATTGCTTCAGGCAATGTCTGAGATTTTGCTGCCTATGTTTTCTACTAGAATTTTTATGATTTTGGGTCTAACATTTAAGTCTTTGATCCATTTTTAATTTATTCTTGTTTGTGATGTAAGAAGGTGGTCTAGTTTCATTTTTCTGCACATATCTATCCAATTTTCCCAACACCATTTATTAAATAAGCTATCTTTAGCCTATTGTATGTGCTTGCTTCCTCTGTTGGATAGTAAATGATTATAAAGGTGTGGGTTTATTTATGGGTGCTCTATTCTGTTCCATTGATCTATGTGTATGTTTTTATGCCAGTACAATGCTGTTTTGATTACTATGGTCTTCTAGTATAGTTTGATATTAGGTAGCGTGATTCCTCCAACTTTGTTCTGTCTCAGGATCACTGTTGCTATTTGGGGCCTTTTGTGGTTCCATTTAAATTTTTGAAAAATTTGTTCTTGACCTGTCATTGGATCTAGGAATTATGTTGAATCTACAAATTGATAGGAATTGTGTTGAATCTATAGATTGCTTTGGGTAGTATGGCCATTTTAATGATGTTAATTCTTCCTATACATGAGTAGGTTATGTGCTTCCACTTATTTGTATCTTCTTTAATTTATTTTTTTTGGTGTCTTATAATTTTCCATGTACAGATTTTTATATCCTTGGTTAGGTTTATTTCTAGGTATTTTATTCTTTTTGAAGCAACTGTAAATGGGATTTTTTTTTAACTTCCATTTCTGTTAGTTTGTTATTGGTGTATAAAAATGCAACTGATTTCTGGATATTAATTTTGTATCCTGTTACTTTGCTGAATTCATTTATCAGTTCTAGAAATTTCTTAATGGAATCTTTGGAGTTCTCATGTCATCTGGAAATAAAGACAGTTTTACTTCTTCCTTTCCAATTTGGATGCCTTTTATTTCTTCTTCTTGTCTGATTGCTTTGGCTAGGACTTCCAGGGCTATGTAGAATAAGAGAGGTGAAAGCAGACATCCCTGTCTTGTTCCCAATCTTAAGGGGAATACTTGTAGTTTTTTTCTACTGAGTATCATGCTGGCAGTAAGTTAGTCATATATGGCCTTTTTTATGTTTGATTACTGCTTTTAGGTATGTTCCCTCTATTCCCACATTGCTGAGAGTTTTTATCATAAAAGGGTGCTGGATTTTAGCAAACACTTTTCTGCATCTATTTATATGATCATGTGGTTTTTATATTTCATTTTGTTCATGTGGTGAATCAGTTTTATTGATTTGTGAATGTTGTACCACCCTTGCATTCCCAGAATAAATCCCATTTGATCATGATGTATGATCTTTTTGATGTATTGCTGTATTAGTTTGCTAATACTTTATTGAGAATTTTAGCATCTATGTTTATCAAGGATATTGGCATATAATTTTCTTTTTTAGTGTCTGTATCTGGTTTTGGAATTAGGATGATGTGGGCCTCATAAAATGAGTTTGGGAGGTTTTCCTTCTCTTGAATTTTATAAATAGTTTGAGAAGAGGTGTTTGTTCTTCTTGGAATGTTTGGTAAAGTTCACTTGTGAAGTCATCCAATCCAGAGCTTTTGTTTGTTTGGGAGTGTTTTGATTACTGCTTCAGTTTCACTAGTTGTATTCTGTCTGTTCAAATTCTCTAATTCTTTTTTGTTTAGTTTTGGAAGATTGTATGTTTCTAGCAATTTCTCCATTTTGTCAGCATTGTCCAGTTTATTGGTATTACGTTGTTCATAACATTTCTTAGAATCCTTTGTATTTCTTTGGTGTCAGTTGTTATTTCTTCTCTTTCATTTCTGATTTTATTTATTTGGGTCCTTTCTCTTTTTTTCTTGAAAAGTCTGATAGGTTTGTCAATCTTATTTATCTCTTGAAAGAACCAGCTCTTGGATTCATTGATCTTTTGTATTATTTTTTTAGACTCCATTTTGTTTATTTCTGCTCTGATCTTTAATATTTCCTCCCCTCTACTCACTATGGACTTTGTTGTTCTTTTTCAAATTCCTTTAAGTATAAAATTAGATTTTTTTGCACTTTTTCTGTTTTTTTAATATATATTTTTTAGATAGGCCCATAATGCTATGAATTTCCTTCTTAGAATTTCTTTCCCAATGTCCCACAGATTTTGGTTTGTTTTGTCCTAATTTTCATTTTTTTCCAGATATCTTTTGATTTCTTCCTTCATCTCATTGACCCATTCATTGCTTAATAAAATGTTATTTAACTTCCATGTCTTCACATATTTTTTAATGTTCTTCTTGTGATTGATATCTAGTCTCATAACATTGTGGTCAGAGAAGATGCTTGATATGGTTTCAATCTTCTTAAATTTATTGAGACTTGTTTTGTGTCCTAACATGTGGCTTATCCTAGAAAATTTTCTGTGTGCACTTGGAAAGTGTGTATATTTTGCTGCCTTGGGGTGAAATGCTCTGAAGTTACCAGTTAAGTCCAGTTACAGTTGTCCCATTTCCCCCTCTTTATTCCCCTCCACCCTGCACCCCTCTCCCACCCACATTTCACCCCTTTAGTTCATGTCCATGGGTCATACATATAAGTTCTTTGGCTTCTACATTTCCTATGCTTTTCTTAGTCTGCTCCTGCCTATTTTTTACCTACAATTTATGCTACTTATTCTGTGTACCTTTTTTTAGGTACTGTATTTCTTTTGATTTCTCCCTTTATGTTCATCAAGGTTTGCTTTATGTATTTAGGTGCTCATATATTTGGTACATTAATGTTTACTAGTGTTATATCCTATTGTTGGATTGTTCCCTTTATCATTATGTTGTGTCCTTCCTTGTCTCTTACTATAGCCTTGGTTTTAAAGTCTATTTTGTTGGATGTAAGTACTGCTACCTTAGCTTTTTGATTCTTTTTCATTTCCATGAAATATCTTTTTCCACCTTTACTTTTAGTCTGTGTGTATCTTTCCATCTGAGATGGGGCTTTTGGAAGCAGTCTATTTATGAGTTTTGTTTTCTTATCCATTCAGCAACCCTATGTCTTTTGGTCAGAGCATTTAAGCCATTTACATTTAAGGTGATTATTGATAGATACATATATAGTGCTATTTTATTGTTAGACTGTTTTCCTCTGTTTCTTTTTTCATTTTCTTCTTCCTCCTCCTTG